TGTTGGGGTCAGGTGGAGGGTTGGGGTACTGAGCAAGCTGCAGGCTTGTGGATGTGAGGACGCAGGAGTTTGGTTGTGGTGTGGGAGGAGCTCAAAGCACGGAGGTTGGGAGTATGATGGGTTCAGGACACAGATTTGCAGTGTGTGGATGGTGCAGAAGTGTTGTGGCAGAAGACTGAGGATGTGGGGGTGCAGGAGTTTGGGGATGAAAGAGGCTCTGGACAGGGGGTTCCAGTGTATGATAGGCTCAGATCTAGGGTCAGGGGGTGGGGTGGTGCAGGAGTGTTATGATGCTGCACCAGATGGGGGCTTGGCCCCAACTGAGGGTTTGTTGGCCAGGCTTCATTTTTAAATAAAATATTATGTTAACACAAAAAAATTCAGCACTATCTTTATTTATGAGAAGGGTGGAGAACCTGACTCACAGAAAAGTTAGTTGTTGCCATGCAAGTGAGATGCAAAAAAAAAACCTCCTCCAAACCCCCCCGCTCCCCCGCCCAAGCCTCAGTAATATGGCCCCAACTGTCCTGGTGGGAGCAGGGGACATGGTACTGGGGAAGGGTGCCAGTAGGTGCTGTGGCAGGGGACAGTGTGCCCGTGGGTGCTGGGGCAGGAGACAGGGTGCCAGTAGGTACTAGGACAGGGTGCCTGGGGCAGGGAGTCCCCAGCACGCACCTTCTCCAGGGACTCCTCCCTCTGCGCAGAGGAGAGAAGCCCTGGCATGCACCTCCTCCCGGGTCTCACCACCCCCCCCTCCCCCCCCGGCAGAGGAGGGAAGCTCTGGCAAGCGCCTCCTCCTGGGACTCCTCCCCCCTCTGCAGAGAAGGGAAGCTCCAGCATGCACCTTCTCCTAGGACTCCCTCCTCCTCCTCCCCCCTGCCCCAGAGGTGGGAAGCCCTGGCGCATGCTTCCTCCCAGGACTCTTCCTCCCTCCCCCTCCAGAGAAGGGAAGCCCCGGCACATGCCTCCTCTGAGAACTCCTACTCCCCTTCCTCCCTCTGTACAGCAAGTCCCTGGCACTCCACAGACTTGGGTCTGGTACCGCATCAGCTGTTTGAGGGAGGGGGAGCAGAAAGTGCACTTCCTGAAACCCTGGAAGTGGCGTACAGCTGTCAGACTTCCTTCCATTCTGCAGGAAGCCAGCACTACTTTCATTGTTGCTGGAGGTAGGTAGTGGAGCTTCTTGAGGGACTGGTCGAGCTCTCCCGATCGACCAATCAATCGCGATTGATGGGTTGGTGACCATGGGTCTACATCAATGGATTTAGATAATGACAAAGTACTTTCATAAAGCTTGTGGATGATACCAAGCTGGGATGGGCTGCAAGTGCTTTGCAGGACAGGGTTATAATTCAAAATGATCTGGACTAACTGGAGAAATGGCTTGAGGTAAACAGGATGGAGTTCAGTAAGGACAAATGTAAAATACTCCCCTTAAGGAGGAACAATCAGTTGCACACATAAAATGGGAAGTGACTGTATATGAAAGAGTACTGCAGAAAAGGATCTTAGGGTCAGTGTACCACAAACACATTTTTTACAGCAGTGTCACACTGTTGTGAAAAAAGGTAACATTCTGGGATGTATTAACAAAAGTGTAGTAAGCAAGTAATAATTTTTCTGCTCTAGTCTATGCTCATTAAGCCTCAACTGGAGTACTGTGTCCAGTTCTGGACACCACATTTCAGAAAGCATATGGAAGAGGAAGACAGAAGCAGACTGTGAGGGACTCCAAGAAGATCTCACCAAACTGAGTGATTGGGCAACAAAATGGCAAATGAAATTTAATGTAGATAAGTGTAAAGTAATGCACATCGGGAAAAATAACCCCAACTATACATACAGTACGATGGGGGCAAATTTGGCTACGACAAATCAGGAAAGATCTTGGAGTTATCGTGGACAGTTCTCTGAAAACTTCCACGCAGTGTGCAGCAGCGGTCAAAAAGGCAAATAGGATGCTAGGAATTATTAGGAAAGGGATAGAAAATAAGACCCAGAATATCTTACCGCCCCTGTATAAAACTATGGTACGCCCACATCTTGAATATAGTGTACAGATGTGGTCTCCTCACCTCAAAAAAGACATTTTAGCCTTGGAAAGGGTTCAGAAAAGGGCAACTAAAATGATTAGGGATTTGGAACGGGTCCCATATGAGGAGAGGTTAAAGCGACTGGGACTTTTCAGTTTAGAAAAGAGGAGGCTGAGGGGGGATATGATAGAGGTCTATAAAATCATGAGTGGTGTGAAGAGGGCGGATAAAGAAAAGTTATTTGTTAGTTCCCTAAATAGAAGAACTAGAGGACACTAAATGAAATTAATGGGTAGCAGGTTTAAAACTAATAAAAGAAAGTTCTTCTTCACACAGCGTGTAGTCAACCTGTGGAATTCCTTGCCAGAGGAGGCTGTGAAGGCTAGGACTATAATAGAGTTTAAAGAGAAGCTAGATAATTTCATGGAGGTTAGGTCCATAAAAGGCTATTAACCAGGGGACAAAATGGTGTCCTTGGCCTCTGTTTGTCAGAGGCTGGAGAGAGATGGCAGAAGACAAATTGCTTGATCCTGTCTTCGGTCCACCCTCTCTGGGGCACCTGGTGTTGGCCACTGTCGGCAGACAGGATACTGGGCTAGAAGGACCTTTGGTCTGACCCAGTACGGCTGTTCTCATGTTCTTAGGAAGTCCAGCAAAGAGCAACAAAAATGATTAAATGTCTAGAAAACACAATTTACGAGGGAAAGGCTGAAAGAACTGGGGGGTTTGTTTAGTTTGGGGAAAAAACAGAGAGGATATAACAGTTTTCCAGTACAGGTAGTCCCCGGGTTACGTACAAGATAGGGACTATAGGTTTGTTCTTAAGTTGAATTTGTACGGAACTCGGAACTGGCTCCAGATTCAGCCGCTGCTGCTGAAACTGACCAGCTTCCTGGAATCAACCACTGATCAGTTTCAACAGCGGCTGAATCTCAAGCCTGGGACAGAACAGCTGGGCTGCCAGGTAGGTCCCCGCAGGACCAAACCGG